ATAGTTAGTTAAGTTGTGATAATTTTAGACAAGTAAAGAGAATTAATAAATGTTTGATGTGATACTAATTCACTTTATATGAAAATTATTTCATTTAATCTTATAATATGGAAGTGTTTTCTATTATTTTTAAATCATTTAGATGCAATATAATAAGGGAGTGGATTTTGTATGCCCACTTGATGACCGCTACAGTAAACGGTAATGGCCTAGATTGAATCTGGGCCGATCTGACAGACACGACCTCATTTCGTTGAATTTTCATTTATTTTTTACAAATCTAAATCATTTGAAATTTTAGGCGTGCGTTCTTCTCATCAAGGCGCACCTAATAAAAATATACAAATAATAATTCGTTAAAAAAAAAAGATCAAAATACCCCCAAAAAGTTTTGAGGGTACTTTGGTCAATTTATTTCATGTAAAATATTTTTTTGATATTTTTCATAGATTCGGCTCTTTTTGAAGAAAACACACCTAAAATTTCAAGTGGTTTGCATTTGTAAAAAAAAAAAATTAAAATTCAAACACTACCAGACATCCGTGATTATCAGATCGTCCCAGATTCAATATGGGTCATGGGTGTTTACTGTAGCACTACGAGCATGGGCGTAAAAAATATTTTTTCATATAATAATATTTATTATAATTAATAATATACAGACATCTAAATGGGAAAACAACATCTCAGTATTCATCGATTTTTACAAGGTAATAAAAGTTCAAAATGCACCACTCTTAATTTCTTTTCGAAACTAAGAATACACTATATTTAGATATTTATAGTGATTTTTTGATATTTTTTGGCAAAAATTTTACCGATTCAGTCGATTCACCGATCGATCCGACACGGGTATGGGTGTAGGCGATTCGGGTCATCAATCTATTTTTTCAAACACTGCTTTAATTTATTGGATTTCACATCGAATGGCTAAATTGATTATGACCTCCATATATCAAAAATAAATGGTCTCATAATATTTACCCATTAGATATTTTTAGGATAATTAAAAATTGAGGTGCTTAATAAAATTCATAAAAAAAAGTTATGTAATATTGTTGAAGAAAATTATGTTATTGTTTAGAAAGTATTATTTTTATTTATTTTTATTTTACGCTCCAACAAGATCGTATTGTGATACTGTGCAGATAATCATTTGAGTGGGAAAGGGCTGCTTAAAAGGATTTTTTTCAATTTGAAATTTAGGATCTCCAATGAATAAAAAAATGATTATTTTTTAAAATTATTTTTTATAATATAGATTTTGGCTTTTTGGATACTACATGGATGCAAAATATTTTTATCTTTTCTTAAAAAATATATTAAATATTTTTATTGAATTATTCATTACAATGTTTTTTTTATTAAATTTGAGATAGCTTTCTCTCCCTAAAACTTAAATTTGAGATAGCTTTCTCTTTAAAAATTTTGAGATTGTTTCTCTCTCTAAAAATTTTCAAGCACTTTTTCTAAAACTTAAAATTTGAGATAGTTTTTCTCTAAAAATTTTAACTATTTTCTCTCTCTAAAATTGGATATGGTTTGTGTGGCTAACATTTTAAGAAACTTTATATGTTCAAAACAACATTTTAAGATACTTGTCTCTCTAAATCTTAAAATATGATATAGATTCTCTATCTAAAACTTTGAGATAGTTTTTTTCTAAAAATTTAAAGATACTTCCTCTCTATAAAACTATTTCTTTCTCTAAAATTTAGAGACAGTTTCTCTTCCTAAAAATTTTCAAATACTCTCTCTCTAAAACTTAAAATTTGATATAGTTTCTCTCTAAAAAATATGATATAGTTTCTCTCTCTAAAATATTTGAGGTATTTTCTCTCTCTAAAAATTTTCAATTACTTTCTCTCTCTAAAATTTAAAATTTGATATAGTTTCTCTCTAAATTTTGATATAATTTCTCTCTCTAAAACTTAAAAACTGATCTAGTTTATCTTTCTAAAAATTTTGAGATAGTTTCTCTTTCTAAATAATTTTCAATATCTCTCTCGAAGACTTAAAATTTGAGATAGTTTGTCTCTCTTTGAATTTTCAGGTACTTCCTCTTTATAAAACTAAAAAATTGAGATAGTTTTTGTCTTTAAAGATTTCAAGTATTTTCCCTCTCGACAACTTAAAATTCGAGATATTTTCTCTCTCTAAATATTTTCAGATAGTTTCTCTCTCTAAAACATTTTTAGATACTTCTGTCTCTAAAATTTGATATAGTCTCTCTCGTTAAATTTTTAAGATATTTTATTTCTCTAAAACTTAAAATGTGAAGTAGTCTATCTAGAAGAACTTTAAGATAATTTCTCTTTCTAAAAATTTTCGATAGTTTGAAATTGTCTCTACAAAAATCTTGAGATAATTTTTCTATCTAAAAGTTTTTGATAGTTTTCCTCGTTAAAATTAGAGACAGTTTTTCTCACTAAAATTTTATGATACTTTCTCTTTCTAAAATATAAAGTTTGAGATAGTTTCTCTCTCCAACTCTGGAGGTGCTTTTGTGAAATTAATTGTATTTTATAAAGTAGATGTCTCTGTAACAGGGAAATCTTAATGGAAATCAATTTCAGAGGGTAAAGACAATGATACATATTTCTTTATTTTTTGCTTGAAATGAGGAAAACAATTACGGATGAAAATAATTTTCACTCCCGAAAATTCGATCCAAATGCTAGAAATGTGCCATCTTCATTGAAAAACATTTCTGGAAATATATTTCCAAATATACAAACGACCCCCTTAGATCGGACAGTCCAAAAATATAAAGCCTCAATCCCACTAAGTTAATATTTTGGAGTTTCTTTTTTTAATGTTATTTAGGAGAAGTTATTAGGTCGAAGAAGTACTTCCTATAATCGTTTTACTTGAAGGAATGTACCAGAGGAAATGCTCCCGTAGGAGCACATAATATTGTAACGTATGTATAAAGAACATGATTCTACTATGGACCCGGATTCTATGCCGCCAAGCCCACATATGTAGAAGTGCGGGCCTCTTAATAAATCTATTTTTGAGATGGATTTTAAGACTTAATTTTAAAGACATATAATCTTTATCATGGAGATTGCGAATATGAAAAATAAATAAATTTTGTAAACTAGAAATAATAATTCTAGAAAGATAACATTTAGACCGTTAGTTTCCATTGTTTTTAGATAGAGCACCTACTTACATCCATCTTTAAGATGGATGCTTTACACTTTCTGGACTGCATATATAGAAATACGGTCCAGCCCGTATGAAACAATTTTCCTTCTAACTATATCCCTCTCACTACATACAAGCAATCTGGATGAATCCTCTGGACATATGTCATTGTCAATGCACGCGCTACGTCTTTGGCTCAATTCCTACCCAAGGTAGGAGGCCCCTCCCCCTGACTCACCAAATTGATTTGAATTATCACCTGATCTTGAATCGGGCTTGGGCTTGAGTGGTTAGCCATAAACATCAAATAACGTTACTACATTGTAAAACCCAAATTGCAAATAAATGAACTTACTCTTCTAGTGCTCACTAAATTGAGTTGAATTATCACCTGATCTCGAAATCGGGCTTGGGTTTGAACAGTAACATTAAACGTCAAGTAACGCTACATCTCAAGTTCGATTCCGACCACTTGGATTACCTAAAAAAGGGCCTGAAATTAGACCCTTTTGAGTTTTTAAGAGGTTTTGTATTTTTAGAAGATATTCTAGTTCTTTTTTATATAAATGGATTCTAAATGAACAATAATAACAGTGGGAAACAACAACCTACCACTGCTAATATGTGGGGTTCGCAGGGGACGCAAGGTGTGCACTTACTTCAACAACAAGCTCACATGCACCGGAGGTTCCCGATCGCTTAGCCCTCCGAGATGGGCGGCCATGATTTTCTTGGCGTGGATTGTTTTGTGGGTTGTATTCTTGAGGACTTAATATAAATGAACATTTTCCTCAAGTGTATATTCTGATTGTGCACATTGATTCTTATTATTTTTTCTAGGAAGGTTCCATGAAATGAAATGCATTGTTGTTAATTGTTTGAAATTGAAAATTTGAATTTTTTTTTTTTTTTTGATCAATGTTCAAAATTTTATCGATAAACTAAAAGGAAATTCCACCGGGACATATAGAGAGAAAAACAAGCCCAATGCCCCTTTTTGCCAAAGCATCAGCAACTTTATTAGCCTTTCTATAAACATGGCAGGAAGTGACAATCAAAGTTGTAACATCCCTAATCTGCAACCATAAAGATCGAAATTTCCACATAAGAGACTGCTCATTTTTACTAAAAATTTGAATTCATTGAGATTATTATGAGTTGAACATAGCAAGAACGTCAGCATGGTCACACAAGAATTGAGAAATAGTCAAATTTCATTGGCTTGCTTGCCCTCCTATGTTACATGGATGTGGACACGTGCGTCAAATTATAATATAAATAGGGGTCTCAGAAACGTAAACTCTAAAAAAATGACATCTAGACACGATATGTCTGTACAATATATAGGTACTTACATATGTACATGTGTAATTTAGTTATAGCCCACTTTTCGATTTATGTATACAACAATTTATGTCATACAATAATAGTAAAGCATCCAGAAAAATAAAAATAAATAAATTAATAGCCTAAAAAATATTACTTTGCGAATTTGAGTTTTATTTATCAAAATTTCTTATAGATCAATCTAAGCTTAAATCATAACAGCATGAAAAAAAAGCTACAAACTATTAGTTAACTATTAATTCAAAATGTAGCATTGCTTATTGTGTGGCTATTGAAAAGGGTTCTAACGCATTCATCCAAAATGATATGGTCATCCCACTAGCACCCTCAATAGACTCATCTTTTTCTAAGATTGATTCATCACATACTATATGCTTAATATCAATTTCAGTAGGCCTATCTATGTTATCTCCATTGATGCCAACATCCCAATATCTATATGGACTGGATTTATAACCACCTTGCCTCCTCGTAAAAATTGCCAAATGCTAGTACAAGATTTTAATACTTTACATTATAAAAGTATACAAAATTTAAATAATATTAAATAATAATACAAGCTTTCAACATTATTAAAAATCAATTACAAAGATAAGGAAACATAAAATGCAAGTCATGCTATTAATGACAAAAAAACAGTGGTAAACAATTAAGATCTTATATATCACAAGGCATAACAAAAAGAGGAGAGAATAGTTGAAGAAGAGATATGAATATCCAGTGGTCTACCGGGCATAACAAAAAGAGAAGAGAAAATAGTTGAACAAGAGATATAAATATCCAGTGGTCCACAATTTGGAAAGGGAGAACTAATGGTCTACATGGCATGGAGAGTAGAAATCAATGACGCGTGACTTGGAGAAGAAGAAACCAATTAAAGAGGGAAAAACCCGAAAAAGTTTTATAGTAGTTGAAATAAATCTATATTTTTATTTATAATAATGATGACTTTTGGAAACCCTAGTTTAACGAATAGAAATATTTTTTATTCCTATTTTAAAGACTTATTTTATTCTAAAATGCTTTGTACTTTTAGAATAAAATACTCTTCAATAAATAATGAAGTTTTTAAAAGTACATAAGTATTTTAAAGTACGGTACTTAATAGAGGATTGTATGGGGTCGAAGAGTATCAACACATGTGTGTCTCTCAAGCATTGATACGTTGTCGGATCCCCAGAAATGCGTGTCTATGTTACATAGTTGCCCTCTAAGTTTAACATGAGCTAATCTAACCTGCAAAAATTGGCTTATAAGCGTCTGGTTGATAAGTATTGATGATTAAATTCACCTTTAAGTAGTATAGACTTTGATTTTCAAGTCCCCTTTATATCTTTTTTTGTGTGTGTAAATCTCTTGGGTATTATCATTTTATGACTTTCCCACGCTATTCACACTGGTATATTTAGATGTACTTGTTATCGTTGATAATTCAGTGAAACAATAACTTGATCCCAATAATGAATCACATGTTGTTTGGCAATATGTCCATTTTATAAAGTATTTAAAATAAATTTAAGGGTAATGATCATGTGCATTTTAGATACACCACATTACTGCGTCTAAGAGTTTTTTTAACCTTTTTTAAGAGAAATGACATTTCATCCTTATTGCGCTCTCTCCTGTGCGCTGCTGAAAACAACTCCCAAAACACTCCTTTATCTTGATGATCCTTAATTCCTATATTCCTTGCCTAAAATGTTCTCTCTCTCTTTCTCTCTCTCACATACAGACACACAAACATAGAGAGATAGATTACCCAAAATCCTCTCTTCCTCTTCCTAACCCCTTATTACCTGGTTGTATCTGAATCTGCTACTGAGAAAAGAGATAGATAGATGAAACCTTCAAGGAAGTCGTTGTTTTATAGACACAATAATGATAATTTACATCAATAATACACTAACAATGCTAAAATATGACAAAAAAAAGTTGTTTTATAGACACAATAATGATAATTTACATCAATAATACACCAAAAATGCTAAAATATGACCAAAAAACAAATCAAAAAAGCTAAAAAAAGTGATTCACGGGTTTCTGCTTTATATAACGGGCATATGTTTTAAATAACGGTCCTGTATTGTAAAACGGTCATTATAATACCAATAACGCCTGTTTTATCAAGAAACTGATCCGTTTAGCTAAAAACCGGCCTGTTAGGTAGAAATACGACCGGTTCATGTAATAATCGGCAGGTTTTCTTCTGGATTTTTTTTTGGGCGGGGGGTTCAAACCGGAACTGACTGATTAGATCTGGTTTTGGTTGGTCTTGGGGGACCGCCTGGTATTTTTAAAGAAATTCAAAAAACTATATAAAATCCCAAACAATAAGGGATTTTGTTTTTAATATATTTTTTAATGTTTTTCATCATTTTGGCAAAGATTGGAAATTGTATTGGCTATTAATAGTTATTTTTACATATTTCCATCTTTTTAAAAATGTTCAAAAACACCCCTGAGCACAAATTGATTATTTTAAATCCATATTTTTCATTAATTCTGTTTCATTTGGATGTAATTTGTTTAATCACGCTTTAAATGTAATTTTTATATTTTATTTTATTTTATTTTATTTTATAGTATTTTTTATTTTTTAACGCTTTTTTGACCACCTGGGACTTGCCCGGTCAGACCGGTGGAACCGGCCCGGTTTATCAATTAATACCAAGTAACCGCTTTACAGTTAAAAGTTCCCATTCGATTTTTCCTACATTAATAAAATATACTCCTAGCACCGCAAAGCCGTGGTTAACCGAAACTGAGGGGTCCCGGTTCCATTCAAACCGTCTATTTTTTCTTTCACTGTTTGTTTCCCTTCCTCTCACTCACGTGAATTGGAAGGCATCCTATTTTTGGAAACTGGAAACTTGCTTAGGAACTGTGATTGGGCATGAATAGGTAACAGGGTTTGGGCTTGAGTGGTTAGCGATCCATCTTTAGCAGTACGATATCTCAAGCCCGATTCGTACCATTGAACTACCCATAAAAAACCCAAGCACTTCAAGAGACGTGTATTTCATTAACATAATGCGTTGCATCATATGATCCATAAATCCAGCGATATCATAAACTACCAAATTTATTTTGTAACAAGGAAGTCACAGTCGTTCTTCTCCAGCCAATTATAAATCGGAATTGCAAGAATGTCATTGACTAGAATGAAAATTCAAAAAAACTTCTCAAACTTTGTGAGGCATCTCAAGCGATCCAATTTGATATCTAATGATTAAAAATAAATGTGACATTCTTTATAAAAAAACATAAAAACAAAAAATCGTCTATTATACAATCCTAAAAGAAAATCATAACCTACCAAGCTATTAAAGCAAGGAAATGATCCAATGCAACGGTTGTATAATAGTATAAAACAACCACACCTTTATAAAACCATATTTTTGGTATTTGTATGACCCCAAATTTTGCACACACATTCTCTTAACCCTCATAATCAATCCTACGAAAGCCAAATTTCAATTGGCACCTTAGATATGGTCAAAATTAGTACCCATCGAACAATGAATGTCGACCATCCATTTGGTGAATTTCTAGATCTAGGCCTTAACAAATTCAAAATCATTTTTTTTTTTTTAGCATTATTAATCTAATGATGATAATGCTATATGAAAACTTTGGGAATAAAATAATACTTTTGAGGCCTATATCTTACCATCTCAATAAAATGGATGGTTTATATTAATTGGACTAGAATGAAAACTTTCTAGAGCATTTTTTCAAAAAACAATTTGTTGTGACTGTTCAAAAAGAGTGTACATTTAAAAATGGAAAAAGTTTACATAAGGATGCAACCTTATAATGTAGAACTACGGATGCACCTCAAAAATCCATCGGAAAAGATAGTTTTAATGTTGAAAAACCCTTTGATTGATCATCTATGCCCATGAAAAATAAAGAGATTTTAAGTCTCAGAAATAATACATTTTACAATATATTATCTACACCATCCATTTTCAATATTTTCATATGGTTGTAGATCTACTTGATTTTAACGATTTTTAAAATTTAAAATTTTATAATTAGATATAAAAATAGATTTTGAAATAATCCTAAGAGCATTTTACGTCAAAATTATATACCATGGTAAAATTTGAAGGCGCACCTTACCTCTACAACTACGGATGCATCCGTATGCCAAATACATCCTTTAAAAATTTGTGTCAAACAAATTTCTCTAACACAGTTTTTAAAAAGGATTACATTAATCTGCTATACAAGCGTTGCATGAAATCAAACCCCATTAAAATATGAATAGCCATACTTACTTGGAACTACTCCACTTTTGCAATTTATTTCCTCCCTCCTCCGTATCTAATCTCAGCCGACCAAATTATCGAAATGGAGGGACCTAGACCTTAAATGAATCACTGTTCATCGGACCCGTTTCATACACGAGAGATGGAATCCAATAACCGCGTGTGCAAAGCAAAGGAAACCGAGAAAACACCCACCCCACACGTATTCCCTTTTTCACTCTCTGTATATCACCAGCCCCTCTCCTCTCTCCACCTCCTCAGCGGGACTCTTATTCCTTAGAGAGAGCAAAGAGATGACAGTAAACTATAGAGAGAAAAATCCATAGAAGAATTCAGTGCCAATTAACGGCAGAAAATGGAGTCGGCGCTTCAATTTGTTCATGCTCTATTGACTGCCACCGTTATGTTTGCGCTGGCCGGTAAGTTTCAATTCCTTACGATATTTTGTTTTCGGTTTTTTTCGATTGAACTCTGTTCTTGTTCTTGATATTTTCGACGGAACTTCGTCGAAATTTCATATAACTTTCTGGTTCAGTGACCGAGTAGGTTAATGGAAAAGGACGACATATCCTTGCTCTGTTTTTTAAGAGTGAATGAGGAGATTTTCGTTGCCAGTGTTTGATTCAAAATCGAATAACGAATTTGTAGAATGATTATATTGCCCCTGCCTTTTTCTACAAATTATAAATGAACCCATTTGCAATTGCCGTTCGTTAGAGTTATTCTTTAAATAATGACTGTGACGGTCAGGATCTTTCTGTTGCCCCCACACTCTTTAATCAAGACCGTTTATTTTACCAACCATATAGTTCACTGCCCGTTGATGAATTGGGATGGTAATACCATACACGAGTTGTGTGAATGCCCATGATGATATTATACACGAGTTGTGTAAATGCCCATCATCAGGAACATGGTTACTCTCCACCGTCCATCCATAATCAACGACTGCAATGTTTGCCTTGTGTTCCACGGTGGATTCCCACTTATAGACAGTGGAGAAGAGGATAGTCTTTCATGGGTGAGAATCATCTGAAACTATGAATAATCCACCGTACATCCAATGTATGTACGGTTATCATATGGTGAAAGTTTTATAGTTAATCATTAGTCCGGACTATGGAATCCCGGGTGTGGAGTTAAAGAGGGCTTGCATGGTGGTCCCGCAGGATGAAATTGTTCCCCGGGGGCAACACCTAGTTTGTTTGTAGGGCTCGTAGGTCACCAATTAATTTCTATATTAAGTTTATTCAAGTTCGCATCATTACTCGGAAAGGTTAGAGTAATATTCATTGTCTTTGTTATTTAAGATTGGATGTCAGGATCTATAAGGCTAAGCTTTATTAAACAAAGTAAAGCCTCATGGCATCAAAATTCAAAAATCTCCTTGATAACGCTTAAATCAATTTTCAATATTGACTAAGAAATTTGAAGCGAAACAAATAGTGCAGATCTTGCAAATAAATGAACACTTTATTTTAGGGCAAATGAATGGTCTAGATAATGTGACAATATACATTATTTTTGGTGCTTAAAATCTTAATTTTTTTTAGAACCATAATGGTCAAGACCAAGATGATCGTTTTGAAAGTTTTTTTTATGCCAAGCATTACAATTTTCTTAGAGTTTTGAAGTGAGGATTTGCTTGGTTTGATAGGAGCTACCCTATCAAACCAATTTTCTTTAAAATTTTTGTTTTAAGTATTTTACTTTTATTCTATTTTTAAATCATTCAATATCACTTTTATTGCGGCTTAATTTTCTATCTAATGTTTTTCTTCTGGTTTATTATGAGAATCTATATGTTATGATAAAATTCTTATTTTTTAGGTATAATTAGCATGTAGAGGACATTTTAAAATTTTTAATTATTTTTTTGTGGCTTGCATTTTCCTCAATCAAATATTACTATTTAAAACTAAGAGATCTGATAGAACGCACAGAGATTTTTTAAGATATATAGACAATGTATTCCTTTGCGACTTTATCATTGCCTTTTTATAAAAAAATAAAAAGAATACGTAAGTAAAGAATGACGTAGTTTAGATAAGGGAGAATAAATGGGAGTGGACAGTCGCTCTTCTCTATCGCCTATTTTCCTTTTTAATTTGAAAAAAAGTTTATAGAGAGCTGAGGCTCTAAACAAAAAAAGTAGAGCCCACCTCAAAAATTTCATTAGAAATGGTTGGTTTGATGCTCAAATATCCTCAAATTGATCATCTCGATGTCAAGATGCATGGATATAAGAAAAAAACAATGGATTCCAAGTTTTGGAAATAGTACATCTTGTAACGTAATGTTGGAACGTCAATTTTCAAGATTTAAAAGTATTCATAGATATGCTCGATTTATAGTATTTTTGAAGCTTTAAATTTTTTATTTAAATATTTTCTCAAAAAAAATTATAATTAAAAATGAAAATATATTTTAAGGCCGTCACAAAGATTTCTAATATTTAAACCATATTTCTCAACACTATTTGAAAGTGCGCCCTACTTTGATTGCTTAAAGCCTCGGCTCTATACCAACTGCACCTTTTTAATTTTTGTGTCGAGTCCCACACCTATTTCATCTCCCTTATTTGTGTTTCCTAGGCCAAAACACCGAGAAACACCTAGTGGAACGCATGCTAATAAAGTTGGAACCACAAGCACATTTTGAGGGTGTATCGTTCGCGTTAACGTCCATGCCATCCACTTATCTTTTTTTGTTTGTAGCAGTGTTCACAAAATCGAACCGCCAGAACGGTTAACCGGTTTTGGGGCTGGGAGCAGTTTGAATCGGAACCGAACTAACCGGTCAAGTAGATTTTTTTTTAAAAAAAAATGAGTAAAAAACCATCCAAAAAAATTATAAAATTTTTTAAAAAAATAGTAAAACTCATATTAAATGTATACTATTATATTACATACATTTATCTTATAAAAAAAAATTGAAACAACTTTTATATAATTTAATATTTGAATACTATGAAATATGCAACACAATTTATAATTTCACACTAATTCAATTAATGAAATTACAGAGTCCAACTAACAATGGCTAGTAGTAATGAGAGTGGCGAGGGGGATCATGGTACTGTTGTGTTTCACTATCAGGGTTTACAGGGCAAAAAATCTGAGTAAGGCTTGGAGGAGTCTATAATGCCGCAGTTGTGGCCCCTCGCCAATCAGGAACATTTCCCGTGGTACCCTCTTGGCCAAAGTCTCCTAGACTCGTCCAGCCTTCATGATCTCCCCCACCCTGTTCTGTGTTATGGCCCTCAACAACTTCAATATTATCATCTTCATGAATAACCAGGTTACGGTGATGGCTACGGCTTCGTCTCTCCCTTGTCGAGTAACTTCTACGCCTCGATGTCTCGATTTCCTCCCTAGCCAATCTCATTAAATCTTCCTGTTCATCAGCCACCACATGATGTTGCACCCCTTCACACTCCTGGATGACTGGTTCTCGCCAGTTGTTTTCCATTTTCCCATCTGTCTCTTCATCATCCTGTGCCTCATTTTCATCTTGTGTATAATCGTCATCCATGTCCATTGCCATGTCTCATTCATTGGATGCTGCAACATCCACGTTATCATCCATATCGGTAACTGGCCCACTAAGAAAATCTTGATCTAGTAGTGGGGTCCTTGGTGATACCCACTCATCGGTGAGGTCCCTTTAGAAGATGTAATCAAGGTTGATCGGTGTGTAGTCTGTGGGGGTCCTTCTTATATGTCTCTCTCTCAATTTCAAATTGTAATGAACGTACACCAAGTTGTACAGCGTTTGAGTCTTTAACCTGTTTTGCTTCGGAGCGTGTATCTACTGAAATGAACTCCAGTTTCTCTCACAGCCTGATGCAATACATGTTTGACTCAAAACTACAATCTTTTGTAATTGCTTTGTTCGCATTCCGTGTATCGTCCACCATTGTGCTGACACAGACAGACATAGATATACTTAACAATAGAAAATAAATTGAATTAAAAAAAAACCCACAAATAATATTGTACTAAAATATTGCAAGTTTTAACTTAAAACTAACCTAGGTGCAATTTTCCAGCTGCTTTTTTGGTATTGTTGTATGCAAATTCCCCATTTTTTTTCCATGTACATGATCAGCTAAAAATAACAACATGCGTATACAAGAAATTAGTACTACATAGAAATGCAATTCATTATTCTAAGTTGAAATTTTATTACAGACACGTTTAATTAAGGTTTACCTGCTGCATACATTTCATCTGAGTTTCAATATCTGGCTCAAGCCTATAGATGCAGTTTCTTACCCCCTCCAAGATATCTGCATCATCTAAAGTGGCATTGAAGTACAAATTTTGTGGATTAAGAAAGAACATTGTGCATGGTTTGTTATATTATTAATTGCGGTAACTTTACTCGGAGTTGAAAAATAATCATGAATTGCGATAATGAATCATAAATTACCTGCTGCATAGATATCCCGATGCAGTTGGTCTCTCCACCTACGATCAACGATCTCCAATATCTCTTCAATCCATATGTTATTCTCAAATATAGATTCCCTTGTGCGTCTCATTGTGTCGAACAGAAACCCTATTGAGGGTTTATCATCATAGTCACTAAACCTCAACACTCGCACTAGAGGTTCAGTTACAAAAACAATATTGTTACATTGAGCCCAGAGCTCCGATCGAGAAGGGTAGTCTCAACCTGCCTTCCAAGTTGATTCATTGCTGCCTTATCAGTCTGCCATTCATTTGAGCGTATCATTAACCTCAATCCTACCTTGTTGACCAATAACGATTGTATCGTAAGAAACGTTGTAGCGAACCTAGTAGTGGACTCCCTGACAATCTCGCGCATGCAATGCTTCCTCATCAAAGCATGGAGGAACGTGTGTTTGTATATAAACCTTGTAATCAACTTGCTCTTCAAAATACATGTTTTAACCCTTCTCAATTTCTCTATTTCCTTGAGCATCAAATTAACACAATGAGCAGTACAAGGAGCCCAATAAAATTTGGGTATTCTCTCCATTAGCAACAAGCATACTTTTCTGTAGTTCGCAACATTATCAGATACTACTTTGACCACATTTTCAGGCCCAATCTCATCTACAATTTTGTCCAGGTGTACACATATCAGTCTCCCAATATGTCTCTTTCTTGATAAATCAATGCTAGAGTGATAAACAATGCCCCTAGAGCAACTTATTAAAAAGTCGACAAGATACATATGGGACTTGTCATTCCAACCGTCAGTCATGATGGTCTCTCCTGTACTTGGCCACCAGACTTTGAACTGTGCAATATGCTTATCGACATCATGAACAGCAGCTTCTAAACATGACCTTACAAGCTCCTTCGCAGTTGGACCTCTAACACCCGGCCCTACCTCAGCTATAGAAGTTACCATCTGTGGATAGAAGTCTGAGTTCACATAATTAAAT